CATTTCAGATTGCCACATTGAGGGACTGCGTAATCAACGGAAACATTGGGAATCTTGCACACTTTTCTCAACACTGTTGAAACGGCCATGAAGAACATTGCATAAGATGTATAAATCTGGGGCTTTATTTCAGTACCCCCAGAGCATAAGTTGAAGCAGGGAGCACTGTGAAGGGAGAGGCCTTGGGTCTCCTCCAGCCCCCTCTAATCTCTTCCTGAAGAGGCTTTAGCAATGGCCAGCCTTCAACTGTGCCCTCAGCACCCACACCTCTGCTTAAATCTGTTCATCCTGGCCATGGTCGGCTCCTAGTGGGATTGTCTATGAAGGAGGGAGCATCTGGTAATGTCAGAAGCATTTGTGGTTGTCACACTGGGATAAAGGGTGCCAACTGGCATCCAGTGCGTCAAGGTCAGGTATGTCGATGCCTATCCTACAGCGCACAGCCCTACAACAAGGAACTACCTGGTCCTAGCTATCAGCAGTGCTGAGGCTGAGGAGCTCTGTTTTTTAGCCATCTATAATCTAGAATTCCCAGCTGACCGAATAGATCTTGGGCACCATTTAAATTTAGCCAGAGTCATTCCCAAGAGAAGTTCACCATGATGCTAAAGGTGAAAAATCTCTACAAGACAGGAAAACCTCCACGAATGGGAGCAGAGGCACTACTAGTGGCTCAAAAACCTGGCAGTGTCCAGGCTCATAAATTAGGGTCACTGATGGAAAGAAATCTTCTGGACATTCAGGCCACGTGGGTCCCCTTGAAGGTGAGTGCAAAACACCCATACTTTTCTTGGAGAGGGCCGATAACTGGCACCAGATTCTCAAAGAGATCTGAGACCCAGGTAACAGATTTAACAGAATTGCTAAATGTACAGCCCTACTGCAAACATCAGACAGAGGCTCGAAGGGTTGAACTGCCTCATAAGCCAACTTTGACCAATTTACGCTCCCCTCTGGGGCCAAGGTATGATCTTTTGTCATTTTGGTTTTTTGTGTCGGAAGACTGTCATCCCTGGCTCAGAGTCTGGTGCTGCACTGGGGTCCCACAGGGCTTTGCTCCCCTCATTCATCGAAGGTCTCAGGTCTGATTCTGGCCCTCCACAACTTAGCCTCCTCACTCCTCCCGCATGCTTACTCACTCTCCCCTCCCTGCCCCTGGCTCCCAAAGGCCCACAGAACAAGCCCACACTGCAGCAGTTTGCAAAGTAGGCTCTGAGTCAGACCACCTATGGTGCTTCCATTTGCAAAAATGGAAGCCTGGGCTCACCCTGACCTAGGGCCACTTCTGGAGCCTTAGAGAAGCCCACAGGGGACTCTGATGACCCCACTGGGCTACAGAGCTGCACTGCCTTGGCTCCTGACTCCTCGGCCTAAATCTAGATGTAATGGCAAGAAATCTCTTTTTGTACCCACTTCGGCAGCACATATACTAAAAAAAGAAAGCTCTGTTTATCAGTACTACTAGGGGCTGGGAGCATGGGCTTAGGGTTGGGCTGCCTAGGCTCAAATGCTGGCCCTGTCATCCAAGAACTGTGAGATCTTAGACAAGTCCCTTCTCCTCTCAGTGTCTCTACAGCACAAGGACAAGGGTAGCACCTCCTGCATAAGACTGTGTGAGAAAACACGAAATTTGTGAGGCCAGGCCTGGTACAGTGCAAATTCTCAATCAGCATTGGCTGTCATGATGCAAATGGCAGAACCAAATGGCAAGTCCCTCCATGCTTGGAGTACTCACTATTCTCAAGGGAAGTCAGACTATTTCTAGACATCTGCTGCAGGTTCAGGACATCCCACATGACTAGCCAAGAAGTAATGACAGATGGTGTCTCTCTCCTCTGAACTGACCCTACATTGCCAAACAGAAGTAATAACTTTGCAAGAATGAAGCCTTAAACCCTTCCTAAAATTCCAAATGAAATTTAGATGGTAGCGCGGGGGGTAAAGGTCTTAGTCTCAGGGCCTCAGAGAAGTATTTTCTCCCCTCGCCACCTCAGTTTACTAGTCTTCATGAGAAAGAAACGGTTGTATAGGTGGAGAAAGTGCTCTCAATTTTCTCATCAGAAAAATGCCAGCAATATACAACTGACCTCAAAGTGATTAAATTATATGTGGGGCTTTTTTGGTTTGTTTGTTTTAGATACATTCAGCCCTCAACCAATGTTTGTTTTTAAAAATTGGATTTATTTTCAAGAAAATAAGAAAGACGTCACTCAACACCTCCTCTGGCCCATGAGAGAAAACAGAAATCGCACTCACAATGGGGGAAGGGAGGTCCAGTCTTTACCTTGAAAATGGAGGCGTCCACTTCCTGATTATAATCTTGTTTGCCAGCATGTTTCCAAGGGATCCGGAACATACTCTTCTCATCATTTTCCCAAATCAGCCCTGGGTACATGTTGCTGTCAATTTGCTCAATCAGCCACTGCCGAAGCCGCCGGCCCCCGTTCCGGTCACACATCCTTGGAAAGAAAAAAAACATATTCTGACATTACAAATATTGTCTCATTAATCACATGTACTTAACTGTCAAAACTGCTAGCAGAAAAATCAGAGGACCACAACACAAGTGCTGGGGGGAATGCGGTGTGGGGGTGGGGCACAGATCTAGGGGCTCTAGACCACCTGCCGTGAGAAGATAATGCCTGCCTCCAGGACCTCAGACCCCTGAATGAAAACTGAAAACTCCCTGGGAAATCTTTGGCTACCCTTCAGCCAAATGTTGGCCCCACCTACGGTTCTGGCTGTGCTCTGTCCAGCTCTCACCCCATGTTCCCTTTCAGGAACACCTATTGGCATCATTCCGTTCTTAGCACAAGATAAGGAAAAATCACTCCTACATTTTCAGGTCCCTTCAATGAGCAGTCCTTCACTCTAAAAGCCAATTCCATTACCTGATGCCCAGTTTGACCAGTGTTCATGAGCAAATATGACATTTGTGATCTCTGAGAAAGAGGAGATCCTCAGGCTCTCCTTCCAGATTGTTCCTTTACAGCTGGTTTAATGATAAAAGCATAAGTTTACGAAGGACAGAGCTGGGGTCCTATTCAAGTCCCAGCTGGGAGACCTGGGAGCATCATTTAACATCAAAGTGTCAGCTGCACTGGCTGAAATGGTGGGTCTACTTGGCATCATTGCAGGGAGGGCTCCAACTGGCATATAAAGCACCTGAGAGAGTGCCTGGAGCTTCGAAAACTCTCTCTGAATAACAGACGTTGTTATTATTATCCCATCTTTCTTCTTTAGGAACTCTAATGACCATCTGGGAGATAGTGGGTAAAAATGAGGAAATCGACTGTGGCTATGAAGTTTTCTGGGCTAGACTGTACGAGAAGGCACCAGAATCAGGAAACCTCACCATCCCAGGGCACCTGAAGACGTCCTTTGGAAGAACATTCTTGCCAGAGCAGGCAGTTGTCCCAACAGCACAGAGAAAGAGAGAGAACAATCATGCCATATCAACTCGCAGCCCACATTTACAAGAACAGGGGTGGAAATCCCCTAGGCAGTTGGACAGACACCCACCCAAAGGAAAAAAAAATAGCATTTCTATTCTTTGATTAAAATGTGACCTCTTTGGGCAAACAAGTTTGAAACAATCAGCAGTGACAAGACATAATGTCCCCAAGAATATGGTGATATCCAGAGCGACACTGGTCCATAAAGCAAGAAGTGCACGTTTTGGAAACTCCCGCCATCCTGCAGGTGGCCATGGGGTCGGGGAGGGGGTCCAGGTGCCAGGGAGAAGGAGGTGAGGTCCCGTGAGCATCAAATGTAACTTTTTCATCCAATAACTCCAGCTGCCCAGTTGTAGATTTAAAAGGGGTGAAGTATGTGAAATAGGCATTGGACTTCGATTTGGAAACTGTGGACTTCAACAAAGGCTTTTCTCTAACTAGACCTTGAGAAAGTCACTAAACCTCTCTCTGAGGCTCTCCTCACCTGCAAATCCCTGGGATCTCAAGTGTCCTAGAATTCTAAGAGACCCTCATGTTTATAAATAAGGGACAGATTTGAGAGGAGAACCTAGCGAGAGAAACGAAATGTCACCACCAAGCTCCCTCCAGCAAATAACTTGACAGGGTACAGATTCCTACAGATCTTTCCTGGAGGAAATGCAGGAGACCTTCCCTCGCTTGAGGAAGGAATAGTGTGGAGGAGCGCGAGAGGGGGCCAGAATACAACAGAAGGATCAGTGTCTGTGGATCTGTCAATTAAAGGAGATGTGCCCACTCATTAGCATTTTGCTCACCCCCTTGGTACAAGGTTCATAAAACTAGAGTCCAAGTTCCAGGAGCCTCCTGAAATGAAAAGCAAAATTTGGTTTGTATGGGCATTTTTCTAGAAAGTGGGTCAACACCTTCTCATCAGAATTGCTAATGGATATATCACCCTAACACTGTTAAGGACAAATGTCTTGGTGATTTATAAGAAAAAGAAAAGAGAAAAGAAAGTAAGAGAGGTGGCATTAAGAGGAAGAGTGAGTCATAGAATATGAAAGCTGGAAAATATTTTAGAAATCATCTAATCCGTCCTCTCTTTATTCAAAAGAGGAAAAACTGAGGCCCAGAGAGGCACCCCGACTCCCAGACACCCTAGTAGGGGGTTCTTATTTTACTCACTCCGCAGAGAAAAGCCATGGTTAAGTTATGGGATCTCAGCACACGGACAGCCCCACGTGAATTTTCATGAAATCAGCTCCAAGATTTTAAGCAGCATAAGAAGCCTAAGATTCTAATATGATGAATGATACATATATCATAATGATCCATTATGATCCATTGAACACTAACGAATGAATGCCACCAAATGCCAAGCCAGGAAATATTTATAAGCCTAGTCACATGTTTATAACTTCCTCTTCCCTGATTTTTAGGTAATAATTCTTGTTATGGCCCAAGTCCAATCTGGAGCTAATCTACACCCTATTAATGGGTCCGGGGGTCAGGCTTCCCAGGCAGCAGGTGATAAGATGCTGCCCTGGGCCCAACCAACGGATTTCAAGATGTATCTGAGAGGTAGCTCAGGACTCATCTTCTCTCACACTTCTCAGGGCCACCACAAACCTCCATCCCCACAAGACCAACATGCATCAGAGCCATTTCTTTCTCTGGCCCCAGTCTTGTTAAAATGACTCAACTACCCATGGGGGAACCTGCCATAATCCAAAGAACATGCTCAGAACTCTTATTTAAGGAAAAGCTTCTAATTTAGGTTTTAAAAATTGTGTTATATCCCTGAATATGTCAGGGGAATAGTTTAAAATCCTGGAACATTTGGTCTCTAGTTTCCACTCACAGAGAACTTCAAAGCTCTGGGTAAGTAACATATCTCAATCTAGAGAGTCTGCCCTCTGCTTTGGGGTCATTTTACACCAAATGTTCCTGTTAGCTGTGACCCTTTACAGACTTTCTTGCCAAAGACGATTGGGCTATGATGAAAGCAAAGGCCTTAAAACTCCACTGAGAAATCCTAACTGTCATCAATCAGAATTTTAAAATCCAGTATGCGTGTCCCTTCACGATCTAACTCACACGAGTAAGTTATTGGGCAGTTTCACTGTTATGACCGGACAAGCATTATTCCATGTAGTAGGATTTGAGTGGGAGGAAGAAAGTCTTAGAATAAAGGATCAATATTTCCCTTCATTATATGAGCCATTCTAAAGTTGTCCATGCAAACCAGATTTTAAGAAAAGTGAGATTTTTTTTTAAAGCCTCAGCCAATCCTTGGGAGCTGCCACACAATGATCAACAAGTTGGACCTTTAATTTGGATTCAAAAGAAGTAGAGGGGTAGGAGAAAACAGAGACAGGGGACAGCGATCGCGCTGGCCCCGAGACCGAGAGGCAGCTGCACTTTCGTGGTCCCGCCATCTGAGCCCGCCGGGACCTGGCCGCGCCGCCCAACCCCGGTCTGCCGTCCAGGCCACCTACCTGCGGCTGTGCTCTGACCGCCCGCCGCCCGCCTCGCTGGCAGC